TGTGAATTTCCCACTGCCGAGTATGTATCGTTTTTTGACTGGCAAGCTTCTTTGAATCTAGGGTAGGTCTCATATTAGGGTTCCGCTCTCTCCATTCCTTGAAAACATCTATTTCAGAGCCCCCATTTTTCGCTTTTGCGTGGTAAAAGAACTATATCACCTCCTTCAATTCATCTCGTGTCCATCTCTGACGATGGCTTCGAGTTACTGCCGACTCTGGGTCCCTGAAACTAACATTAGCTCGGTTTCTGAGCAGGTATGGGACATTGGTAGAACAAGACACGTTAAGATTTCAAAATTCATATTTCTTATCAGTAAAATTTCGGCTTAGGACTATAGTCTGCGAAGTGTATCAGCCCTCCCTGTAATGAGGATATATGATACACATGCTAGGGAGATATGATACTGTGAATGGTGGAAAATGTTTTGTTCTGATAATGTCTCGGCAGTAAATTAAATATGGAACTCTTTTATTTTAAATACAGCTGTTTCAATGTTAGTAAAATATTTTCCCATTAACTTTGCAACAAAATTACCAAATTATTCAACCGAAAAATCATCAAAACTTTCATTCAAATAAAAACAAATTATCCCTTGATTTTTCTCTACAAATGTAGGTGCATACAGTCAATTTGATCATGTCCACTTGTAAAACATCTTCATTTTGTGACCACTTAAATTTACGATCGCATATGTGACATGCTAATTTCACAATCCAGCTTTTCAATAAACTCTTCTGCTCTACGCTCACTCATGGTATGCTTTGTTAAAAAATTTCATATATGACCAATAAACCTACGGACTGTCTTTTTGCCTTTAAAAGACACTAACATCTAGTCCCCTACTTCAATTTTTTCTTTGAACACCCTTTTAATTCGATTACCATATTTCCATTATGGAAAAAGAGGACACTTCATATAAAATATTTTAATGCAATGATTTATTTTTCTTAAAAAGAAAATACCTACTAGCGACAAAATAAATACTTCAATCATTGTCATCACTTTCACAATCACACTATAGGCCTCTTCATTATCATTATGGTCTTTTGCACTTTTATACCAGAAGTATTTGGGGGATGATAAAATCTCCCTCAACAATTAGAGCTTTGAGTTTTTTTTGCCTGTTCCGTGGTTTTTGTTTCTGTTTGAAGTGTTAGAATCTGGGCAGTGTGGTCACTGAAACCTGTATTAAATGTAGCAACAGAAAAACAATCTGTATCTATTATTATTTGATCTATATAAGTGCTACTGTTTTTGGATATTTGGGTTGGCGTATTCATGGTTGTTTGTAATTTGTATGATTTTAGTAGGTCTTTAAATAAATTTTCATTACTGGATTGTGTGAGGTAATTTATATTGCAGCCACCGCAAAGAATAATTTTATACTGTCTGCGTTTTTAAAGTTTTGTTAGAATAACTTCCAGATTTTTTAAAAAGATTTTCAAATTCCCAGTAGGGCTGGGATATGTGCAGAAGACCTGTGTTTTTATTGTAGTTAAGTCAGAGATAGATATTTCAAAGTTTTACTTTTTTACAAGATGAGTGTGACTGGTGTAGGGTTCAAAACTAATAGTATCTTTAATAAAACCACCACCATATGCATGACGTGCGTTGTTAATATTTCGACATGAGCTGCTGGGTAGAGAGAAACCTGGTATATACATGTTATCTATTTGATCTTTAATTATCCAGTGTTATGTGAAGCATAATATTGAAATGTGGTTGACATTCTCCTCAAGTAATATTTCTATATTAGTGAGTTTATTTTTCAGTGACTGTACATTTTGGTGGAGAATGTGAAAATTGTTCTTATTTTTGTGTATTGTCTGCTTTCCTGCTGATGTTTGATGCTACTGGCTATACACAGGAATGGGTTTCCAGTTGCAACGGAAGTTATATGTACTGGACTGCTGGAGAAGACTGGATGCTGGTGAAAGATGCAGTGTATAAGAGGGTTGTGGATGGAGAGAAGGAAGAATGGGTCAGAGATGGATGTGGGGTGGCAGGGACAGGAGTTCCCAGTAGGTATGAGCATGGCTCCTAGTTTTTGTTTACCTATCTGGTTCATGTGGAGAGCATGGCGAGTATAATGTTTTCTTGAGAGGTTGTCAAGATTAACAACTGTGATAGGTGTCCCTATCAAGTGCTGTCTTATATGATGGTTTGCAATCTTAATTTCATGGTTTATAGGAATGTTGTTGTGCCAGGGGGGCAGAGTGGTCATTATTACATTTGTATGTTTGACAGTCTCTTGTATTTTTGTTAAGTGTTCCTCTGCATTAAAGTGACTGCCAGAGTTAATGTTGTTCTGCCCACCTATAATTACTACTGTGTCCTGTTGTGTAAAAGATCTAGTCTGAGTGTTTAAGTTCTCAATTACATGTGCCATTGTGACACTAGGGTTAAAAATACCTGTAATTGAGAACTTTGACGGGAGTTTTCCCCTCACAATGGAGGAAAGGATCCTACCATGGCTGTCATCTAGAATCAAAATTTGACATGAGTGAGAGAGTGCCATTTGTTGTTTTAGTCTTGCCCTCTGAACTGTGTCTCTGTTGAGATTTTGAGGGCAGACTTTTAGTAAACGCATGCCTATTGTTTACTGGTTGTCGTGGTAAGGTAGCTTTGGTGGGAAGATATAGAAAGGAGACATGGTCAGAAAGGATCGAGAACCTGTTGAAAGTGAGGGCGCAGTGTGGTGCCTGAGAGGCTTGTGGTTGGCTAGGAATTTCTAAGCTTTCTATTTTTTCTAGTTACGTGAGTCCACCTACCGGAGTTTTGAACAACCTGCTCCAGTCTACTGATCTCAGTTTTAATGTAATTAATATGTACGTAGGCTTTCTTCAGGTCAGTGTTGAGTTGAGAAAGTGCTAAGTGTGCCTGTTCCATGTTCATGTTGATTTGTGTGTAATACAAGTTTTAAATTAGTCTCTTGATTTACGATTTTTCTTTTTTAAATAAGTCCCCCTATCCTGTGATGTGACCTAGCCCACTTGTTTTTTTCCCCTCTAAATGCAATAATTAGCGGATTTATGAGTTGGTGTGATGCCAGTTTCAGTTGCATTCCAAATGTCTTGTGCTTCAAATTTCTTGCACAGTAACTCTATCTCAAGTTTATCATGGAACTCCTTGATAATGTTCTTAGTAAAAGCTTTATATTTAGCAATGTTTTTGTAGTTTCTCATAGATGAATGGAAAGATCTTTATTATGGTTTAAGAACCCTCTCAGCCAGTCATAACCTGCCATTCTATTGTCATCCCATATGGATAATTTCCGCTTGAGGTACTTCCCCCAGCAAGGCACTACCCCAACCAAGACAAACTCTCCCAACATGTATGGTAGTGCAGTGCATGCAAGTATGTGTGCACAAAAGGGCAAGGATAAGACAAAGAAGATGAGGGGAAAATCTCATGCAGTTTGTGGACCATTTGTTAGGTACTGCTACCATTTGTTTGGTATATTCACCTGGTATTCTTCAGAGAAACCACAGAAAAACTACTGAGCAGCTAGTTGCTACACTAGAGTAAATTCCAGACAGCAGCTGATTTTGACCTACTAGCTACGTGACCAGTATCGAAAATCATTCACAATCAGGGCGCCAACCTTAGGCCATCTTGGCGAGAGTCAACAATTCTGATGGTAAAGCTTGCTCAGAGATCAACTAACCTGGTATTTGTCTCAAGAGATTAATTCATAACACCACAAACATGTTCTTGAAATGGTTAGATTTTTCAAGTCATTTTTTAAAATCCAATCCGGAAGGATTGGAGTGAAGCCATGGATTCTTTGAAGAGACAGGTTATTGTCAAATGTTTTGAGGGTTGTAAATCACACAGCTGAACGGAATGTCAAAATAATCAAGAGCAGAAGCAAATTTGCTGAATGTCAAAATTTATTCCCAGACACAATGAAATCTTCCCTCTCAAAACCTCTACCCCTAGTTAATTCTGGTGAAAATCAGACAAATTTTATCAATTTAACTTACCTACCCATTGAAGTATTCTGAGAATATACTTATAAAACCAGTTCTGATGTTCATAGTGTTTTTGAAAATTGTTTTTGTATTGATTAAGTTCAATATTTTTAATTAATTATCATTTAATTACAACAAATAATTGAAATGTATGTCAATATTTTCTTCACAACCTCCCTTTATCTCAATTCTTTTCACCCATCTGATTGCAAATATATAATTAAGCCTTAAGCATGTCCATCTGTGTATAAAGTGTGCCGAGTTCAAATAAAATCATTTTAAAAAGAATATTACTCGAACTATTTGACACTAAATAACTCCAAAAAGGGTCGATTTTTTTTATCAAGTACCTAACACAAATTACTGTATGACCCACAAAAATCCTATATCTATATCAAGCAAGTTGTAAAGATGAAATTGAAGACAGAATCATTCTCTATAGAACTAAAAAGAGAACACATTATTAGGACAGGCAATTTTGATTTTGTTGTGAAAAACACTTGACTTTTTGAGAAATATTGCAATTTTTTTTAACATAAGAGCTGATGTATCAGGTTTCAATGTGATCTGATCAAACAGAAACTTAATGAATTTCATTTTTACAACAATTGGCAAACTTGTTAAGGGTTCCCAAAAATGAAATTTTGGAAGTCGATTTCTTGCAACCACCCTAATTACACACTTTGTGAATGTACCCATTTGCATTAAAAAAATAAGGGTATTAATTAATCCTAACAGTTACAATACTTATATGAAAGTTATATATCATCTTACTGATATTCTTACAGATACAATGTTTGATGAATCGTATTACGGCAATGGGAAACAGCTGAATGGGGGTATTACTAACTCCCCATTCACCTGTTACAAACCCCCAACTCACAAAAATACAATATGTCAGTTCAGTGCAGGAACCTTTCAAACCAATTATAATGTTCAAAATATTTCTTGAGCATCTTGAAAGTATCTTTTACATATTCACTACTTATTTTTGTTGTTAGAAAAGTATGAGAAAAACATATTTAGAGAAAGATATTTTTATTTCACATTTACAGCAAAAATGTCAACATGAATAATATATACAATTTCAAATTTGACATACTTTCATTGAATGTTTTCTAATGAATTATAATGAAGAGGAGTCATAAAATAACGATAATGAACACCATAATTTTCATCAAATATTTACAGGATCATGAAGAACATCCCTATGCACTTATAAAAATTATTATTAAAATAAAATGATTGTGCAGACTCCATTAAATTCTATGAATGCCTTTGAGACACAAATTCAAATGCAGACAATTCAGATATCATAGCAGAAACAGTAATGATTCTATTATTGTCACAAATATTGACAAATACATAGAGTACACTTGAAATTAAGGGAAAGAAACATTATGCAGGATTTCTGCTTTAAGTTTGCAATCATGTTGCACATTTATTCTTTTGGCACAGCCCATAAATTAATTAACACAAAAGTACAATGAATGGAGGGGTTGCTTTGACAAATGATCATGTTAACTTTCCCAACTCTTCAGCAATCAACTCTTTACCTAGATGCATAGCACTTATGCTCTTCACTGTAAATACCTGTACACACAAAAGTGTATACTGGTTGCTCAAGAACACAAGGTCATAATATTTACATGCCCAATCATACACCTATAAACACACATACGAACACTCGTCAGGAATAATGCATTGTATGCAAGATCTATCTGATCCATATTTGCATATATTCACTCATTCAAACATATACACACACTTTCTTTTCCAAGATGACATATACTTAGCACACATTCCTTTCATGTGCATACACATGTATGGACTCATTCAATTTACTAGGGTCTCATCAAAAGAAAAGCCAAACATTTTTCACATGCTGTAAAATGGCATATTGTCTGGCTTAAGAATTTATCCTGATGATCTTTTATTCTTTGTAATTGCAATATAAAAATTTTTGGCATTTATCTTATATTTCATCTACTTGTAAAAAAAAATTCCACTGTTACTGTATTCATAAAGTAGATCACAAACAGTGGAGAGGTTTGTATTTGTCATCATAGACACACCACATGTCCATGACCATAAAAATTGACTATTACGTTCTAAATAGTCTTTTTAATTATGTAAGTATATTTATTATTAATTTTATTATTATTAAAAATGTCTTCTGGAGCTGTAGGTAATGTATATGTAGATATATAATGACATGTTATCTGTTTTTTCAATAGAAATATTTAAAATCAATTTGAGTGGCGTAGGACCTTGTGACACTTGTAATCTGTTTCATGTACAACATGCTGTTTCTTATACACAGATTCTAAACACACTGTGTGTTCAATGAATGACACTAACTTTTGTTTGTCAAAGTTTCCTTTTCAAAGTACCATGTTCCCTACCTGCTTTAATATACCATATGACTCCTGTATTTTTGTTTTGAGCACAGAAAAACGACAGCTGTAGGAAATTATCATTGTTACAAACATCAAATTTTCTGTCCAGGCTGTGGACTGACCTTAATGTACTTTCTTGTCTCAATTCCTTATATCATTACCATGACAAAGGGTGAAATAGAAAGGTTACATTTGCAACTGCATACAACAATAAAGACAACTGCAGTTAAAACAACAAATACAATAAAACAGCACATCACATGATACTGTAATGCATGCAACAAGTAAACACTGTTAATTATATAGCGCTTATTCCACAGGTAGTGATACAGAATACAACTTACATTTATGGTTGGACATGAATGACACAACTAAAGAATGACAAATACAACTAAAGGTTTTATTAATAGAAAAACTCAATGGCTCTTTTTCAAACTCTTCAATTGCATATTTCAAGCAGTGCTGATATTAAAGAGGAGAAAATATGAAAAATAATTTAGAGCTGAATGTGCGAATAATATGACATAAACTTAATCCTTGAGATCAAGAATTGACCACTCAAATGACAAAAACTATTATTAAAAAACAATTTTTTTTAGTTGCGAATTGGTCATCTTACGACCGTGTGAACATGCCATTGTATCCCCTAAGACTTTGTCATAATTTCCCAGGGGTAAATGCACGTGACTTTTAAAGCAAGTAATACTATTATCTATAATTTTATTTCAGGCCTTTCCAAATTTGTTAAAAAATGAATGAACTTATCAGAAAAAACCACACACACATTAAAAGTTTGTAATATTACATCATGCATGGAGTGGTAACCAGAAACTGATTTCTGATTCTACTGTATTCTGAGAATACAAGAAATTAAATCTGAGGATACTGAAATACATTACATAAATTTTATAGATGACATTTAACAATTTTTAATTTGTGTTTCATTTTTGCAAGTGCCAATACTCACTCACAGTTACACATACACACACATAGTCTACTATTGTTGCAAAAGCCAAGATCAATAGCAAAAAAATATCAATGGCATCAAACTTATTTCAGTGTTGCAGAAAAGTATAGTATATAAAATTATGTCTCCATTAATGTTTCACATTATGTGTGCTTTGTACCCCTTATGATCCTTATGGATAGTAGTACATTTAAAAATGATAATTGAACATCATTTAAGCACACTAGGAAATTTGAAAATTTTCATTGCAAAATTTAATTTTTAGCATGGAAAAAATGCTAATACAATTGTTAGATTCAATTTTAACTGTAGTGGACTGTTTCTATGAAATTTTTTCTGGCTTACTGTCTAAAAGATGCCAAACTCATATTTCATGTTAATGAAATGTAAGCTGTCGCAGTAAATTGAAAAGTTTCCGAAAAAAGTATTACATTTATGATTGTAAATAATTACAAATATTTGAGATTGTTGCTTTAATTCTAACATGATGTATTATGTTGATTAAAAGCTTGCTAATAAATGCCTAATCAGACAATGATTCTTCAGTTTAATGTGTAGGTGATGCATATTGAATGTCCTCAAAATACTGTGCAGCATATTCAAAATATGTGATATTGGAATGAAATAGTTTAGCTTCTTGGTGATTCGAAAAACTACATAAAACACAATAAAGAAAAAGGATTACTTAAGCCAATTAATTATCACTCATGTATATAATCACTTAATTTTAAATAAACTAAATAATCAGTTAACTTAAAAAGTTGTTCATCAATAGATTTCACTAGATTGCTTATCTTCATGCCTCCTGTTCTCTCCCTCACAACTAAAAATTTAATTTAGAGAATTTGTCTTAAAAAGCTTCTTGATGAGGATATATTTCTATACAAAAGAATATGTGGGTAGAATAGCTCAAATTCAGAATTTTCACAAATGTATTTTCTTTTCTCAGGTCATTGCAACACGTCATGCAATGACAAACAAATTCAGTCCTTGAATATTTTTAAAATGAGTGTTATGAAGATTAATGAAACAGTTCAATATTCATCCCAAATTAATGTAAATGGTGGGGTTAAGTCTGCCATGACACTGAACGACCTAGAAATCCTGCCGTGTGAATCCAAATTGACAGTAATGATCAAGTCAGTAATCATAGAACTATTAACTATTTTTTAATTTCTGTTCTTTCCTGATGGGTAAAAGGCTTATTTGCAGATTTCACAACCTAGTGGTCACAATGTATATACATGATTTAAGTTTTACTAACCAACACTGAAATATTTCATTTGTATACCATTTAATAACGGCGAACCTCAGAAACAAGTTCTGTTTGCCATGTGCTTGGCTCTGTGTAAATACCAGGTTTTTTCATTCAACATTGATATTACCCCAAAGGGACTATTATCAAATTCTTGATGCATTTACATTATTTAAGACAATATGTAGTATAATTGTGTTATACCAGTAACATCACATAACACATCTTCAACATTTCCACATAACATTCATCTATAGAATAAGTTTTATCATAGAACCTGGTACATTCATTAACACATATTAACACAAAGCCCATAAAACACAATATTTTTTCTGCTGCCAACATGAATTCAGATGTATCTATGTAGGTCTACGAATAATAATATGCTTTGTTATCATACGCAATCATATTAAGAAATCTGATATCACACTCACCAATGTTTTGATAAGCAGTGATTCAAAATTAATTGATTTCATATTAAATGTAAGTCTTATTGTATATACAAGAAATATTTGCCATTTCTGTATGCATGTGTTTGTGTGAGTGTTGGTATTGTAACATTTCTAAATTGCTAGCATTTCAATGGTTCTTGCTAACAATATTGACGGTCCAGTTAAAAGTTGTTTGTCTCATAAATGCAGGGCAGATGTTCACCTATGTAGCTGCATCCATCTTCATGCCATAGATTTCTTTCAACCCTTACAGTTGGTCAGAATCTTGTGGCTGTGACACGTGGAGTTTGAGTCACGGTTGCATGTCCAGCTAAGTCAGGTTGACCAACCAACAGCCCAACCTACAGGGACAAAATTCACAAAAATTAATCCACCCCTGTCATGCCAAAATGTAAATGAAGTAGATGCCTAAATTATTTGATGAAGAAGAAAGAACAGGTAATGAAAAATGTTGCGGAGGCAAAAGAGCATTTAGATTGAAAACTGGTAGAGAAATATTTATAAAGCAATTTATCATGAAGATATTTTTAGTTCTCTCTTATTTCCACACCTACTGCTAAAATAACAAAATCAAGATACTCAAAATATGCAATTATGTGAAAGAATATCTTTCATAGAAAATAATCTGATATGGAGTTTTCCATAAATTACATAATTCCAAAGGGGGAGGGAGGAGGCAGTATTATGCTGTGTTATGTAGAGGTCATGGAGGGTTAGTTTAGTGTAATAGAATGCTGATATTTATTTATTTTTTTCAACATGAGCTAAACCTTTTTTTTTTCTGTTCATACGTATTAGAACAATCAAATGTTAAAAATGAAATTTCAAAATTTATTAGCAATGAAACAAATAAGAATTTCAACAAATAAAAATGTTATATTTACTGATTTCTTTATGTTCTGAATAGCATTAGCAAACACAAAAGAACAGAATTATTATATCATAATCAAAAAATATATTTCAAAGAATCTTAAAGTGAATATTATTATGTTGCTCATCATGAAGCTAAACAAGCCACAACAATGACAAATCCATCTCATTCAGAGGAAACTAACAGTTTCAAACAAACAGAAATGCATTAAAAATATTATCATCAAATAGTATCATAGCAAAAAATGCATAAAAAATAAATCTACAATGGAATAAAATATGGAAAAATTACAAATCCAGCAAACTGCATAAAAATATTCAAAACTTCTCTGAACTTGTAACAAACCCTTCAATTAATTGTAAAGAACAAGACGTGCTCTCCAGAATAATATCAAACCATTCTCACCTTTCTCAGAAATTCTTAACAGATGGGGTTCTTCAACCTATCTGTACTCTCTACAATACTGGTTTATCAATGAACCACATCCTTCTGAAATGTTCCATTAATGGAATATTAATTGAATCTGTGCAATTATGATGAAAATACTCAAAACTGATCAAATTCTAGATTCCAGTTAAATTGACGTACAAGAGCATTATCCACAATGGTGGGTGCAGTTAACTTGACTCATTAGACATTTTTTTTGAACAATGCTTCACTTCAAAATTTTCATTAATTTTATTGCCAGGTACCATCAGCAACACCAACTACTCTTACTTTAATTATCATAAATTTTAATATATTTATCTGTCCTACAGCTTGACAGCACGGTTATGGGCTTTGGCCGACCAGTGGTAACCCAGCCTCTCAGTCATGGGATAAGGGGTTTGTATGGTTAGCATGATGACATTCCTTGACCATATATTCTGGTCTTCATAACCTTAGTGCAGTCTTTCTCATTGTCAAACAGCCATATATACTGGGACATTTGTAAGGAAAGTGCATAGTTATTATTTTGGCCCAACCAAGAATTGAACCCAGGGTTGTGCCATTGAAAGCGAGCATGCTAGCCAACAAGCCACTGTGGGTCAAAATTTTAATATATAACACAAATAAAATTAATTCAAATTGTTTTTATTGTTATATAATTTATTTTTAATTTTTGTAAATGGGGAGAGGGGTGTTATTGCAAGCATTATATAGGGGTAATTATTTAAGGGGGCTGGGATTCAAGCATGATATAGAGGTACATTCCAGATGGTACAATTGGTTGCGAGTGCTGGTAGCTGAACTTCTTGACCAAGCTCCGAGAAGTCATGGAAGTTAAGTAGTTGGAGTCATTGCGAGTTCCCAGTTGGGTGACCGACTGGGAACCCTGTATACTAATGATGCTGAGGCCCTGGCAGATTGGGAATGGCAATGCCGAAAGGCAACAACACTAACTTGACTTGGCATAGGATAGACTGTGAATGAATGTTTAAGGAGTCTTACTCCTCACGTCCAACATCAAAAGGATTTGGGGATGCTGTTATGCAAGTAACCAAGCTTCAAGAGGGACAGGAAGTATTCAAAACACTCCCAATTTGTGTTATGTAATTTATGGATGGCTCCCTGTGAGAAATATAAACCATTTTATAAATTTGGCCCCTAATGCATTATTTTGGATAAGTTCATTGCTTTCTCCTAAATTTGAATGATCAAATTAACTTGTTTGATGATGATAAAATGAAAAATTAAATTAGCTTTGATAAATTGCCTCACCTATACAACATGTGAATATTTTGTTAATTTTCAATTGAAATGCAGCACATGCTCATTCAGAGTTTTAACATCATATTTTGCAGATAATATTTTTTAACATTTTTGTTCACCACATGTTGGCTTTTCAAAAACCTTTGTTTTTTAAAATATTGATTAGATTAGATTAGATTTGGAGATGCTAAAAAGTAAGTTAATATTGGTAATATTAATTTAATAATTTTGAAGAAATTTTGAAATATTTGTTGTTTCGCAACTACGATATATTTACAAATAAGCAATAGCATTCAGTAATCTGTAGTAATTGAGCAAAAGCTCATTATGCTTGACATTTTTCGCTTTCAAATATGTTTCTCTATTTACTATCATTTTACAATTTGTTCATAACTACAATTTTTTTTAAAACTTGATAATTCTTTATATATCTTTATTAAGAATGTTTCTGAACATTATAACATTCTGGGTGATATTTCTAGTTCTACAGGAAAAATTAAAATGAGAGTAATAAAAATACTAAGTTCAAAACCACTAAATGATCTACAAGATTTCATACTTAAAACTGCTATTGAAAACAAATGTTGAAAGATCCTTAGTCAACATTATCTAAAATGCAAAACATAACAGCAATTATTTACAATTGTACACTACATCCAATTTCTGAGACTGCAAATATACCAACCTTACAAGGTAAATGTTCCAAGATGCCAATATCAAAATGCTTGTTCAAAGATTTTTCTTGTATTTGGTAAATTGTTAGTAAATTTAACACCTATATTTGTGCACACATTTAATATTTAAATACACAAATATTAATTAATAATTAAAATTTGAAATAAACTCAACTGAATAAATTAAATCTACTACTATTTATTTCACAATTCATTCCTTATGTTGTGTAGAAATGCATGGTAGGTACTGAATTGTGATATACATAAATATAAAAGGGATAAGATTGCCAAAAAAGTCTTTATGGGATAGTTTGAAAAACTAATTGGCAGTATTTTACAAATTTTGAGAATTATTGTTAAGAAAAATTATTCAACTATTAATCATTAAAATCTGCACTGATAACATTCTTCAATTACAATTCAACAACTACTATCCAACAAATACTATGTGTAGAACCTCTGCGAAGGAAATTAACTTTGCCACCTTGGGACATTAAGTTGCAAGATGTCACATTGCCTACATGTACAGGCAAAGAAATTAAGCCATATGCTCACAGTTCCAGAGACATCACATGAAAAAAATAGGTTTAAAAAAAAAGTAAATTTATGCATAAACATGTAGTATAGTAAATCATATTTTAATTTAGAGGATCAAAGTTGAAGCAAAAATAAGATAAGCAGAATCCAACATTTCCGGGAAGAAACCAATCACTGCAGTTAAAGATGCTCCTAATACAACATGAAAGGGATAACAATTCTTACATTCAGTTTTAAATTCTACAAAATAACTATTTTCTGATGCACACAAAATCACATTTGAGTTAATCCATTCTATTTTAAAGAAAATGAAGATTTGTAACGTACTGCACTGACAAAAAAAAAAAAAAAATTGAAAAAGTATTAAAAAAGTCACAAATGTTTTCTACAAATATTCAATATTGTTTCAACACCTTTCATTTCATGGGCACCAAGAGGGTAGGTTTCTTAAATATTCCTCGCACTTAGAATTTAAAAATTACATGTATATTTCTGATACATATCTGAGATTTCATACATGATATACAAAACTGAAAAAAAATTTTGTTGCTTTTTCACATAAATTACAATGTTTAAAAACAATTAAAAAAAAATAATTAAAATGCTTTTCTGTAGAAACCCCCAAAATGGTGTTCATGTTTTGCTTCAAAATGCTTTAGAAGAGGCAAATACTTATCAATTATGGGCCACAGTACATGCTAAGCATTGTCACGCATTGATGCTGAAGTTCACTCACCCAACCATCATGCATCCAACTTTTTAATCTTTAACAATAATTCCAGTCTAAATATATCCATTTATTGTAAAATAACTTTTTGTTGAGGGGTAGTATTTCCCCAAGTACATATGAGTATGCAGATTTCACAAACATATACACAACCCAGAATAGGACACTGAATTTTAAAGACACTGTTACATTATATCAGGCAACAAATATAATGGCTATGATGCCATACGGAATTAGAACATTATGGTAAAAAATTAGGAAATAGCATGAAACATTGAGAACACAAAGGAAGATTATTAAAACAAAATAAGGCAATAAGGATAGAGCAGGGAGACAGAAATTCAAACATATATCACCTACCATCCACATTATATAATTTTGGTAATGTATAAAAATAATATATAAACCTGCATAAGAGCTTATTTTATTTTTTTATTAATTCAGAGTTTTGTAAAAAATAATAAATAAAAAGTATAAAAGTTTTTACTTTCGCTTTCATGGTGAAAAATATCAGTATTTACATGAAAAAGATTTTCAGCATTGCAAGCTCATTGTAGCTTGAGAATAATGTCTTTCTTTTATTTAGTCTATAAATACTTTGTGATCTTGTGAAGAGTAATTCAGCAGCCAAAATGTCTCCCTGTTCAATACTTTTTCACACGCAACTGATTTGGCAAGAAAAGTAGTTGTTCTGTAACTCAACGATCGTAAGTGCAGTTGCGTACTGCAGATATTATTTATTGAAATATTTTGACAGGTTAAGAACAAATCCAATGGGTCAAAAAGCAATATTTTTCAGTTAAGATTTCAGTTACATGTTACGTTTGCAAGCAAAATTTTTACCTGGTGTCCTGCATTCCAAATAGCAAAATATGCAATTTCCTTACATTTTCATTTGATACAGAAATGTATACAAATGTTGATGAATTAGCATTTTCTAAGTGATAACATGAACTGGAAAATGGAAAGCTTCAATCTGATATTCTTGGTGATAATATTATTTAAATTTTTGACAAGTGGCTTTCTCTGATTGCTCTGATGTCTACCAAAGACTATCTTATTAATAGATTTAATTTCATTTCCTGAATCTAATTATTTTTTTAGAATTTTTAAAATGTCTTTCAATCATTAGCAGTTTTTACTGCTGCACACCACTAGTTAAAATACAATAAAAGACAGAAAGCATTTACTAGACCAGAAACAAGATAATTAGTGTGGAAGAAAGTAAGTGAATGTTCATGATAAAATAAATAATAACTAAATATAAATATAAAAGTCACAGTTCAGAGAAATTATGTAAAAATTAATTTTTAATTTCGAACATGTCCTTCTTCCCTCTTTTTAATTAAATAAAATTCATTTTATAGAAATTCTTTACATTTCTTTAGTAAGACACTGAATTTAATTCTCGTGTTCTATGAATTTGATTTCAAAATATTCTAATTTAAAATAGTGTGAAAAATTATAAGTCTAAATGTGTGTATATTTATATGATATATTTCATAGAATGAAATGTAATGAAATACATATTGGAAAATATTTCATACATCACATTAATATGTTAGGGTTATGAGAAATACAATGTTAGCAAAATACAGCTAGTTACAATTTGACTAAAATTATTTCAATATTATTAATTAGAATAGACAGTTTTTAACTTAATAAGAGATGTTATGCACTTCAGTCATTAAAAGCAGAATAGATTACCACACAACTTATTACTGCACAATGCAAATAGACATGCAAACAGTACCTGCGTGCTGGATCTGACTACTGGAGGATGGGGACATGGAGTTATACCGTGCTTTCCCGCTGGGCTGGGGCTGGAAGCAGTGGGGTCTCGGCACAAGCTGGCAATTCATCATCCGGTGGGCAAGGACCCAGAGGACCCAAAGTGCTCATTGGAGGGTGTGGACCAGGAGGTCCAGGTGGAGACAGTAGGCGCAGTGTTGGCTGATGAGGATGAGGAGTATATGCAGCTGCGAGATGGTGGTGATGCAAGAGAGGCAAAGAAGCAGAGGCTGTATTTCCATCTTGAGGTTGCTGTTGCTGAAAAGGGCAGAAACAGTTTAAAATTTATTTCCATTTAAAAAGAACCGGATCAGAAAACTGTAAGTAAAACCCTTTATTTACAGATTATTAAGTTGATAAACTACGAGATTATTAAAATTATTTTAGGTATGCTTTCTGTCATATTTTTTCAGAATAATTGTACCAAGGGTAATAACCCTATAAGTTTTGAAAATAACTACAGAAATAAATTTAAATATGCAATTTTATTATAAAATATTAACAATGTTTTTCCCAGAGAATGAAATAATTAAAAATGATAAGGTAACAGGGGTATTAACAGAGTTATGCAATTCATAAGACATAAACACACAGCACTCTTCTCATTCGACAATTCAACTACAGTAAATACAGTGAAACAGTGTTTAGGGTTTATAAATTATTAACTTGAGTGATAGATGTTGAAGTTGTGAGACTACACCAAATCACAAACAGGTCACCTACTGGGAAAGTCAAACAATATTGCAGGGTGATCTCAACACAAAGTGGTAAATACAGATGCTCTGAACTTCTGAAGCTCATTTACATACAAGAAAAGTGAAAACACACAAATATTTTGCATTGTAAAGAATGTATTCAAAAATATCCTCACAGTGACAGTATATTATCTCTCCCTAAATGTATTCCTCATAAATATTAAATTCTATTCAACTCTTTTAAAGAAATGGAAATAATGGAGATAAAATTAAACAGATAATTCATGTGAGTGGTGTTGAATATTAAATATTGCTAATTAGGCTCCAAACTATTTGTTGAATTTAAACTTGAAATAATGTTGATAATTATAATAATAATAATAATAATATTTACATTACTTTCATAAACATTTTGTGTGTCCTCAAATACAATTACAGCAGGGAAAAGCAAACAACGTTTGTAGTGCCCAAGCATTTAACATGGCCATAGCATTGTTTGTACTGTCCATGCAGGGAAAGGAAGTTGAATTCAGTAAAATAAACATAAAGATTAATCTACAACCATTCATATTTTAGAATAGATTTGTATGTAGAATAGAATAGAAGTGTTATGAATTTAGTAATGATGATGATGATAATAATAATAATAACAATAATAATAACAACATCTCTTTGAACGGCCGTATGGAACTAATTCCTATATTATAGTATTTATATATATATATATATATATATATAAATAAAATATATATATATATATATATAATTATATTATATATATATATATATATATATAATATATATATATAATATAATAATATATATATATATATATATATATTATATATATATATATAAATTATCTTACAGTATGTTAATATCGAATGGGTTCATGAGTCATTAAGAATAGTTATAATAATATGATTCTCAAAATAATAAGTTTAGATACCATTTGTTCTCTGATTCTTAGGTTGTTTCATAAATATGGAAAATAATTTATATTACAAGTGCTGTAAGAAATAAAATACATTAATTTAAGGGCTTTGAAGTCCACTTTCTGTGATAATTTTCTCTATCAAAGAAAAATGGTAGTGAAAAAAAAAAATAAACAGTTTGTGAATCTTTGTGAACCACACACACTCACACATACACATGGACAGACATGCATGTACGTGCCCCCCATATGCATGCAAGTACATACATAAACGCACACATATACACTCACACGTGGTGGCATTTGATGTTTCTTCAGTGTTCCCACATAAAAAGACTACAAAAAAGGAGCTACATTAGTATTAATAATCCTTCAGAAAAACTATTGAGAATACATTTTCAAATGAAAATATAGTGAGCTTATATCATGAGCAAAACTTGTCTTGCATTTATAGTCATTTGTCATCTAACAACAAAATTTAATGATTCATTGAAGGTAATAAATTTGCTTTGTCTGAACTCACAAGCAATTCAGAATGATGATGAGGGTGAGGGTGAGGATGTTGCTGCTGAGGTGGCATCTGTTTGCTGACATCAATCTGAGCATAAACAGTAGGTTCTTGACGTCGTACACCTCCAGGTGTGTGAGGAACACCAACATACATGGGCTGCTGCTTTGGTAAAGCCAATTCGGCGTAAGTGACTTCATCTCTCTGTAAAGAAGTCATTTCTTTTAATGATATTTGTATTAGTAGTGAACTGATAACTTATTACTACTTCTTGACTGTCAGCCATTAGGTGGACATTAAATTATATTAGGTTGAAGTTTAAATATACCTAAGAAACATTAATTTAATTGTATTTGTGTGCTAAAATACACCAACACATAAATATTATTAAATATTTTTAAATTTGTACTTTAAACAAGAAAAACTTTCTAAAGTCAAAGAATAAAATTCCAAATTTTTCCAAAACTTGAAACTTTTCTAAAGAAATCTAATAATAATAATAATAATGATAATAATAATTATAATAAGATAATAATAAGATAATAATAATAATAATAATAATAATAATAATAATAATAATAATAATAATAATAATAACAACAACAACAACAACAATAATATAAATTGACATTTTATTTCTATATCATAATGAAGTCTGCAAAAACCTCAGAAGTTCTAAGAAAATTCTGATTAAAAAAATTAACCTGCATATCATCACTAATTTACAGGTACGAAAACTGAGACTACATTTTTACAAATAGTTGGTAAAGAAAATTAAACATTATGGAGGTGAGAAATCTCATAATAAAAAATATGTAAAAGTACAGCCTTTAGAATTGAAAGTAGGGAAAGAGCATGCAAGAAATTTTCCATGTTTGCAATGAATGGGAGATGAAAGTCTGCATAAAAGGCTTTGGCAGGCAAATGTAGACAGGAAATGATAAAGGGGAAGGACGAGTCATTCCTTGGGTTGACTATTCAGATGAATTTGAGATAAATAAAAGTCAATGGTAGGAAGTAAAAAAAAAAGTTAACTTACAGGTTTTTTCACATTCATCATGTTGCCAGAATTGTCATAGATTCTGCTGCTGGGAGAATGAATATGTGGATTAATACTAGCATAAATACGGTTCGGTGCATTGTTTAGCTTAGCAAATGCTTTTTCATCAGGATCTTGGTAGTCTGTGTCTGAAATAGATAAGGAACAGGAGGTATACAATTAAAAAAATATACAATTATAAAAATTTTACATTTCCATCACAGATCAAGGTAAAATGTGTCTGAGTAAAACATTTATTCAAAAACAACCTTTCTAATAAAATAATGAAAATAATATCTGTGTAGATAGTTTTTAATGCATTTTATAATGTAAGTATCAATAATCAAAATTTTGAAATTATTATTTAAAATATTAGTACTTCAATAAAAGTTGACAAACTTCAAAACTTTATGTGATCTCTGACTCCTGTACGATTTCAATATTTGGACATGAATTATGTTTGTAAGAAAGCTGGTATATCCACTGAGGGCAGACACATTTATATTCCATATTACTTAATGTTGTGTTAAAAACTTTGTGTAAAAAAGTAAAAACTTTGTGTTAAATATTACACATTATAGGTCTAAAAGTGTTTGTGTTATATGATCAGATTTTGTCTATTTGTTATCATCATAAATAAAAAGTGTATTATATGTTTTTCAGCTAATGTGGAGGGCCCTTTTCTTAAAATATCACATGACTTTCAAAGAGAGAAAGCAAAATAAAATGAAAATTAAAAAGAAATTACTGAATTATGGAAATATTTTAAAAAACTTGATTAAATAGAATTAATTTTACTTTACTCCCCAGATGAAAATAAGTATTGTTGTAAATATAATAATTTCAGAATGCTGACAGGCCTACATTTTTTAAATTTATTCTGTAAACTGTGTTCATCACTTTAACATACCACTATTTTGAGGGATGATATCAGGGTTTTTCTCTTCTTGACTGTCTATGCTCTCATCAGTGTCTTTAGAAAGGGGCACTGAGCTTGCTTTATCTGCAGTTCTAGTGTGCCCATTTTCTTCTGTGGAAGCTCCATCTCTTGGTTTTGAATCATTGCCAGAACTATTTCGAAGTCGCATAACCACCACAATGATGATTGCCACAAGAATAAGGAATGCCACACCTCCAATAAGTATTCCTAGGACTGGTGTGATATTGAGGATTGCAGGAGAGGCTGAAAGCAAAGTACAATATTCAATTTAAAATGAGTGAATAAATTATTTATTCATCTATTGCACTGCTCAAGGGTAATTTGGAATTAGACCTGTCACAGTATTTAAAGCAATAATTGCACTGGTATACTAAGAGAAAAACTGAATAGTGGATTGATTTTGTACTTCATTCATATGTCTATCAAATGAAACTAATATTAGAACAATAATATGTAGCAAACCTTCAGAATTACAATTACAAAACTATTAACAAAGAAAAATAAGAAAATTTTGCTTACAATAATTTTTAAAAAATGTACACATAATTATTAATAAAAAATCAACATGTTAGTAGTAAAAGCAATAAAAACTAGTGAATCAAATATATTTTTATTTATTAATAAATACATTAGTTGGCTACTGAATAAATCCCAACATGCTATTAATCAACTGTGAGTTACATTATTATTAGAAGACAGATGTTATTCTACAGGTGGATTAAGTTATACAGAGAAGTTCAGTTCACCAACATTTTACACAACAATCATGCTATAAAATACTACTGCTATGATTATGGCAGTTGTATAATCACCCATGAATTATTTCAGTTGGGAATGTGGCTGGAGACTCAGATGAAACAATTTTTATCACTTCACATCATACTTTTCAATTGATTCAAGAATAAAGAAAAATATGGTGTGATCATACCATTATAATCTCTACTATCCTAAAATACATACATATTTAGGAAATGAGATCTTCCTTACTTCTCTACACATCTTAAAACTTCATTATATGAACATCAAAAATTTATTTTCTAAATCATTCAACATTGTTTAACTGTTTCACATCACAACAGTTTTACAGCCTCTTGATTCGTATTCTATTTGGACACTATTGAAAAAATGTAACATGGCCATTAAGACAAAGTTTGGTTTAAACTAGTTTAGTATTTTTATTTTTTAACAAACAAATATTTACGGGGACATATATAAAAGTGGACACCGAAACAGGTTGAAGCCTAATCCTTGTAGGTAGAAGATACTTATTTTTACACAAACAGAAAAAATGAAAATGTGTAAGAGCCAAAATAAATATGAAACATCAAGCTCTGGATAGAATTTGATCAATTTTATTAAGTTCAATTTCAGATATTAGTTGTGATCAATCTTTCTAATCATCCTTGACTATCACTCTGTTTAGCAATTCTTTACAAGAAATGCAGCTTGTGCATAATGTGTTCTATGCCATTTCTGCAGTGGCATCCAGAGGGGGGTTTAATTGAGCAATTGGAGGACATAATTGGGAACCTGACTTCTTTTTCATTCAAAACAAAAATGTACCAACTTATCTAATTTAAATTAACTCTTATGATGCCTGTTGGACACAGTCAAATATTTGAAAAAAAAAAGTTTATCATAATTGATAATAAAGTTTTATAAGTAAACTGTTTAAAATACAAAAATATAGTTTTTTAAAATATAATTTATACAAAAATTCTTTCTTTCAGTAACATTTTTATAAGAAAAATCCATTTTAATTACTGTAGTGGAAGAATAAATAACTTGGAAAAATGTATTTTTATGATATATATTTATGGATGTGGAAAATTGTTTGAAATAAGGAGCCCCTATGGATGCTGTACTGCCCTGTCCTGGACTAGAGGCTTATGGCACACGGCACGTGGCACGTGCCATGGGCGCCACTCACAACTGACGCTATGTAGAGTATACACGCTAAAACAAATAGCAATAACCCTAATTTGAAATATCCCGACGGGCGTAAATTCTCGTCTTGCCATGGATGACTGAATATGCCATGGATACGCTTCTACTTGTACTGCCCCAGACCCCTTGTTTCATTGGGTGCCGCTGCATTCCTGCATTGTATAATAACACCAAAAGAGAATTACTCACCACCAAGAACATTATGTAGACTCTACAGAGACATTCTTGCCTTCATTCAGAATTATTATTCTAGTACTTGTTTAGTATGTGTAGTAGCAATGAAAGTAGTATCATATTTTCTTTTTACAATTATAATTAAACTTATACCAATGAAAAACTTTGTAGCTGCATTTTGAGAGGCAACTTAACATGTCTTTTAGATGTTACAATAAAAAAGTTTTATTATTACATTCAACTTTTTAAGCTGAAGCTGCAGAATGTGCAATGGTCAAAATTCGAATGTTTTCAATAAATAAAAAGTGATTATAACAGTGATACATATCGTAATACTTGATAATGAAACAACAAATTTAAATGTTTTCTTTCAATTTATTTTACACAATTGGACATAAATGCTGTCAATATTAGTATACACTATCATACAGTTTGCCAATTTGTGCCCATCACCTTAATCTTACAGCATCTACCATAAATACCAGCAATCACCAACAAGCGAGAGCATACATTTATTCAAGTAGGGGCTCGTGCTTACGTTGCACGGTTGTACAATCCCCAAATAATAGTAACATACTTTCTTATGCTTGTAATATAGTGTATTTTCCATTTAATGTCATTTAATATTCGAGAAATTTCAGAAATATCTGTGGGTGATACCACTTTGAAATCAAAACGCACACATCGAACGCAATCTCTAGTTGCAAGCCAGGCAGCGCACCGATATATTTTGCGACCGTATCCAGCAGTGCTGCCGATCATGTGACATTTAGGTGCACGACCGAGAAAAACGCGAAATGCCGTGAGATATTCCATCGGGAAGAGAAGCCCTCACGCTCTAAGAAATAAAAATCCCAGTGCCGGAACATTTAACATTGTAAAGCACGAGCCACTCAACTGGTAACTAGTCTCTATGCATCAATTTTGCGAACACCCACTCATTCCTCGTGCGTTTTAGTACTGCATCGACACATGGAAAGCGTCACAGGCTTAAATCGCAGAGAGATGGGGGCCAGCCTTCACGGATTCGGAGGAGAATACCAATTTCCTGTTTCGTCTGGATATGGCTGTATATACGCAATTTAATTCTAGTAAATTGCACGTTATTAAAGGAACAAAAAAAGGTAACTTTTTTACGGTTTTGAATGCATTATTTAGAATGTTTGGCAAATTTGTTTTCATTTGACATTAGGTTTGTAGATTGAAAATGTGTGTTTAACGACTTCAGTTTCTTCTGTGGGAAGACTGACCGTTTTGGAAAAACCTTTCGAATGATCTCTGTGAGGTTGCGGGAGATGCGCCGTGCTCGCTGTGCGTTTGATGGCGTGCTGTGCTTCCAGTGCTTATCTTCACAGTCATTTTGTGCGTCGTTACGCAGTACGGAGAAATGTGTTGTGGTGTGTGTGTGTGTGAGTGAGAGAGAGAGAAGAGAGAGAGAGAGAGAGAGAGAGAGAGAGAGAGAGCACGCGCTGTGTGAGAGAGGGAATCCGAACCCAATGTACATTTTGTGATAAGTTTTGAGAGAGTTGTTTATTGAGAGCTCCTGCTACTACTCTTTGTGAAACAAGACAGACAATTATCGTCCTCAGCAAATAAGAACTCTTTCAATTTTGTGCAGATTTTTTTGTACGATTTTTTCCCTTGGATTAATGAAGATTAGGAGCGTTAAATATTTATTTACCTGATGCTAGACAATTTATTCAGTGAACAATCTAAAAAATACAGTATCTGTCTGGATAACATAAATTCCGGAATCGAATCCGGTGTGATTCATCTGCAATTCGTGGGAATTCATAGCCATGTATAAAAATCCTCTTCAATTCAAATCCTTTGAAGAAAATTATTAAGACAGAAAACTTACTCTATGTCTTCAATTTTGTATTGAAAACCTAAAATCAGAAAAAAGAGTAATAAAAAATCAAGAATGATTTTCGTTAAAATATAGAAAGTTATGCGGGTGTGATTCAAAGATAGCTGTTTTGTTGTCTCTATATGTTTCCGAGGTGAGGATACGTGAAAGAAGAATATATATAATAATAAGAATAGCACAACGAATCTCTTCTATTCGAAGTTTAACGATTTAAAGCTCGCATAGAGAGAGAGAGAGAGCGATGAAAAACAAACTTCTGAAAGCCGCATGAAAGCAGTAAGCAGTAGCATAATTAGGCATTACTTAACCGCAAAACGAATTATAAAAGGTTTTATCTAATTTACATTCTCAACTTTCGTTGAAGCTGAAACACCCTTTTTGGTGTGTGTGTGTGTGGGGGGGGGGCACAGCCGCCACTGATTTACCAATAACGTGCATAGATAGTGAAGTTACATTTATGTCAAGAAGCAAAACAAGAGGTCATTAGCATCGCTCAAAGGATGAGGGGAAAGTGATGAAAAACCAAATAGAGATGAGCAGTCATCGACACAGAAGCTTAAGTACAATACTAAATAAAGACTGATATATTATTATAATATATATATATATATATATATATATTATATATTATATATATATCAGTCTTTCAGAGATTTTACAGTCTAAGTGGTCACTAATGCATTAAATTTCATTGTTAAACCAATATTGCTTCCTTTTTGATGTTTGATGTAGTCTCTTATTGTATAGAAACAGTAATGCCGCAGAGAAGAAACTTGTGAATCGATTTTAATCGTTTAATGTCATCATGCAATTGCTCGCTTGTTCTAAAAGAATGTTCTTGTATTGTATGTGAAGTTTTTGTAGGTAAAGTAATGTGTAAGCAGATTAAGGTAATGCATTGTATCTTTTATCTTTCATTTAAAATTTTGAGATTTATAAAGTTGTCGAAACTCCCTCCCTCCGCAAAAAAGGTTCTGAGTAGCCAATATAGAACAGCAATAAAAAGAAAAAGAGTTTTAGATTTAAAAATAAATTTATTGTGAATAAATATATTGAAGGAACTGATTTGATTTGATATTATTTATTTTCGTCAAATAACTGTGATAACACTAGCTGACGTATAGCGGAGAAGTACTTGTACAACCTGCGCACGTTACTTTGAGCCGACGTGGGAACTGAATTAAAAGGAGGCGATTGCTTATATACGAGGAGCTTTCATGCAAGTAACAACATGTTCATCATATCAGAGTTTTCAGGAATAGCGAAAAACTGATTGTTGACAATTAATTGCATTTTCAAACAATATATGCTACACTGCATACTAGTATTGTTATAATAGTCTACATATACCACTAATAAATCAGTCACTTATAATTATGATGATATTTCATCGGGTTAAAAGTTGGTCATGCTAGCCTTTGCTTGGAAAATTAGGGCGTGTTTGCTTTTGCATACAACAGGGCCACAGTAGTTGGTTGGGATACCTACTATACAAACTCTCTTCTGTTCGAAATTTTTCCTGTGACTGGACATTTGGATCAGATGGTGTTTGTTCGCCTTGAAGTAGAAACGCCCATATGGGTTTTTGGTGTACAATATTATTTTTGAACAAAAAATCAACACTTTAGGTGAACCAAATATGACCATGAACGGTAGATTGGAAAAATATTCGATGGATTTTGACATTTTTGAAAAATGATATACGAGCAGAATATTTAACTCAAAATAATGGGTTATAAATTATATTTTTTTAAATTCAATTTCCCTTATACAAGCTATAAAATATAGTACTTTCACAACCCGGGAAGACATTTGTGTGTATGAGGTGGTAATAAAATAGTAACAACGCAAAATCGATGAATCCCTTGTATATTTTACGTAAATGATAATCCTAAAAACACAAACAAATTGGTTGATGCGACTACAAAAAAGTATATAAATAAATGGGAAATTTTGGATACGTGAATGTTGGCGGATATTGTACAGAATATGAACATTAAATACAGAAATACGGTATTGGATGTATGTACATTTCAATTTACGCGTGCGCGCGTGCGTGTAAGAGAGCCCGCCACCAGTGAGTGTTATAATCGTGAGATCACTGTGCCCCACATCGGCCCTGCCATCAGCCGAAGAACCCTGTCTACCGCGGAGCGGAGGTGGTGCGGCTTGTCACCGCGAAGGGCGCTAGCGGCGCGCGCGCTGGCAATCCCGCGGGCAGGTAGCGCCACGGGTCGTGCGGGGGAAGTCGTCGTACCAGCGGCGGCGCGGCGTCGGTCGGGTGGGGGCGGCGGCGGCGGTGGGGGCGAGGGCGGCGGCTGCGCCTTGACGGTCCGCGCGTAGAGGGTGCGCGCCTCGCTGGCGGCGCTGGCCGTGAGCGCGTACACCGACAGCAGCAGCGGCCGGCCGTCGGCCGGCAGCCCGCGCAGCTCCAGGGTCGCGCCGCGCCGCGACGCCGTCGTCGTCGCCAGCAGGCGGTGCGAGTGCGCGTCGAACGCCTGCAGCACCACCGTCGCGCCGGGGTCCCCCGGCATGCACGCCACCCGCAGCGCGCCGGCCCACTGCTGCACCACCCGGCACTTCTCCGGCGGCGACGGCCGATGCGATGGCGTGCCTGCGCGTGCGGTCGCTGGAGCGGGTTGCGACGGGGGAAAGCTCTCCCCCACACTCCCTCACGCTTTCCAAATACTTACTTTATTTTTTACAGATACGTTATTGCTTGTTATTGCCTTCGATACAGAACTTGATATACACTACATAACTTACCTGGATCGAGAGGATCGTAGTTACGAAGGAACGGTTGAACATGTTCTCTTATGGAAATGGAATTTCGGGAGGGAAATATGAAAATACAAACCAAATCAGGTTAACATTTAGTTAATTAGTAAATCTGAATCATTAAAATTACTTAAAGAATTAAATCTTGTATGTACCACGTGTGTTAACTGATTCTAATGATCCCGGCTCGGGTCCTCGAGCTAACGGCCCTCACCTTTTCAGTCTCGGGTCAGAGGTTCTTGAGATTTTAGTCTAAGCTGGATCATTAGAACCCTTATAACGCCCTTGATGAATACAAACATTAAATATATTTTAAATATTTTATATATA